AGCATCGTCGAGCAAATGAACAAACTTAAGCATCAGCAAACGATGAGCTGGGTCAATACTAGTGGTCTCGCCATCGGAAAGTCCAAAAAAGCTTGGTTCGAAGGTATCCCAGTTCTAGTTTGAAAGAAAATAGCCTGCACGGAAAAGATGCTTGTAGAACTGACCGTCTTTATCTTGGTTGAGCATATGAGCACAAGATGAGACGAAATCGGTTCGTTCGGCTGGAATTGCCGTGCCGACATCTCGGCTATGCTCGAGTGCATGCCATAAATCCGTTGGCGAATGTATATCGCCTGTAAATTCACAAACAATATCTACGATAGCCACTGGTTCTTGGAGAATGGATTTCGACGACATGTAGTCTGATCAAATTTGTGATCGATTGTTACGCAAAAAATATATGAATACACTGAAAAACCATTTAAAATCTGAAAGAAGCAGACGTGTCACATATCCAAAATATCGGGCATGTTCGAGAAATGCGGAAGATACGAGGTAAGTGTAGTGTAAATAGATACAGCATCTTTCACCACATCTCTTAGGGAGATGTTGTGTCTCCTTTCACTGTACTTCTCCAGCATGCCTGATATTCTGGATATGTGACACCTCTTTTATAATCGCAGTTATAATTCGCGAAAGAATCTGATTTTAGCTGATTTTAATTTAATTTATTGGACATATGTGCCAAAAGTTGATCTATTATTTTACTTAGCATTTGTTGAGCTCAGAAGTCCGAAAAAAACACGTTTTACGGTCATCGGAATTAAAATCAATTTTAATCGAATAATTTCTTGAAAACATGATTTTCTAAGAAAAAACTCGATCTAAATTATCTGTAATCAAAAATAATCGTAATTATTAAATGAATAGTTTTCATAGGATAATATATGTTCTACCTTGCGTAAACTCAAAAGGGACGAAAGACAATCATCTACCTTCACAATAAGGATAGAATGGTAAACGAAAAAAATACCAATTTATTTCTCATATAATCATAGAATATTGTCGATGGAGAGCATCAATATTTATTACTTACATGTGAAGAACTCAGAAAATAATGAAAAATGAACGAGCGTATTTATTCGGTTTGGAAAAACTGTGAAATAAACCCACTAGATTATACTATGATTGGGAATTCCCATCGCATTGCGATGGTTATACGAATACAGAAAGAGAACCCAGGTCAAAGACGTACGGCGAGAAACGGCAGGAAAACACGGGAAATAGCGGGAACATGGAAGCAGTATTCCCGCCGGAAATTTTTCGGATTTTTTCCGGTAGATTCCGACCAACTTCCTGTGTCGCGATTTCCCGTGTTTTCCTGCAGGATACGGTGAGTTTTCCCGCATTTTTCTACTGGTTCCTGCGGCATCCGTTCACCGGAATCATTGGCCTGGGGAATAATTTATCTTACTTTGATGACACGAGGGAAAATACTCGTTTCTTGTCTTCTTGATGGAACCATCCCATGTAAACAGTATTACTTAACCAAAATGGGAACTTCTCATTTACGTGTATGAAAGAAAAAAGAAAAAGAAAAGTGTAACGACAAACTGGATGAGTAGCTTACCGCCACCCTCGGTAATGATGCTTATTGAGCTACTTTACCTATCCAGAGTGTAACAACTTCATACATAACACACGTATATATAGGAGAGAGATATATTAGAACGATGAACAGAGAACAGAAGGAGGAGGAAGGAGAATCATCGAAGCGTGTCATCAATATCGGCACACCCTCCCACTCAGAGCAAATGCGCTTCTGAGCGTCTTTACAATATCGAAATAAATGTAGAAACCTCGGACTTAAGTCCGAGAGTTA